TGTGTGTGTGTGTGTGTGTGTGTGTGTGTGTGTGTGTGCGTGCTTGCAGACATGAAGATGTTATAATGCTTGCTGCAGGCTGGTCATTTGCTATAATTTAGAGTGATAGCCAATCTGGGTTAGAACAGCAGACACACAAGCGTCCTCTTTCCAGGGCGAGCGGCTCAGATGAACTCTTGTCAGTCGAGCAGCGAAGAAGAAGAACCCTCTGCTTTTAGTTGTCCCTGCAGCAAATCATTTGAGCTAGAAAATACAAGAGAGTGATATCTGGAAGGTTTCTCAACAAAACTTGGAGTGGTGCAGCCCTCAGGAATAAACGCCGGAGGGCGAAGTCCTCCCAACCGGACTCTTCACTGCAGCTTGTGGATGCAGCATGTGAATGCTTGCACCGTATCTCCTGCAGAACCTTCGTAGCTTTTATCACTCAGAGTCAGGACATTTAATCTTTGGTGTCCATCAGATGCTGCTGCGTCCTGACTGTAAGCTAATCTAAGTATGGACTTCCTGAGGGCCCCAGGATTTGGTTTCACATCCTTACATGGTGCATTAACAGGGCACCTTTAATGAGGACCACACTTGATCTGGATGTAGAGTGAGGGTGGTGTGAGGGTGCAGGAACCAGGAGAAGTTACACCTGCTGCACAAATGTCTTATCTTTGTTAAATCTGCTCTTTTTCTGCCCTGAAGGAGGATGAGGTGATGCCAGCTAAATTTGAGGACGATCTGATCTGGGTGGTGGCTGGCGCGCCCCTGACCGACTCCACCTTCCTCAGCAGCAAGATTAAGGACCTGTGTGGAGACCTGCCCATCTTCTGGCTCCGTCCCACCTACTCAACCAGTAAGCACACCTTTAGGCACCTCATGATTCAATCACACATCAAATAAAACCCAAACATATTCTCTCAGACCTCAAAGGAACAAAATATTTTTTCTTTTAAGTTCCGATTGAACTCAGTAAAGTTGACATTTGCTCCGAACGCTGTGGAGTTGTGTGCCCCCCTCACCCCACTGGGTTGGTTGGTCTTGGTAAGCTGTTAGGTCGGTTTCACACTAGATAGTCCGGTAGACTCGGTTCGGTTCGGGACCAATATTCATGAGCTTTTGTTTACATTTGAGCTGGTGCGTTTGCATTCACACTGCACTGTGCAGTTGAGTCAACCTGTTGAACCAACCTGTTCCCCCGCTCGCCTGTGGGGGCGCTGCACCAAGAACTACTGAAAGAAACAACACAAAAACCTCTGAAGACACGTCTTCTTCTTCTTCTTCTGTAAATAAAAATAAAATGAAGTGGCATCAAATTTTAGGAGTTATATTTTGTCATTTTTCAAAAATGGACTTAGCATGAGCAGAAGATGAGACAGAAGACCATGAAGAATATTGTTTTTCACACAAAGCAGCTGACGGCTCCATATAAGGTCAGAGAAATGCGTGTTTGTTTACCCTGCTGAGCGGGGCTCGGTCTGTTTACATTCACACTGTACTTGAACCGCGCTGGAGTTCGCTTCTACCGGACCGAGACCTAGGTTTTAGCCCGGGCCAGAGTTTGCCTTTTTGTTACGTGACAGAGTTTGATGGCGCGTTCACACCTCCCTAAACGAGCCGGACTTTCTAGGAAAACGAGCTAGAGTTCGATTAAAGTGGACTAAACAGGGCTAGTGTGAATGCACCCTTAATGTTAGAAGAAGAGGGGAATGAAGATCTGATATTTCTGTTTTTGACTGAGCAGAGTACTAATTTGCAAATTTGTCCCAGAGACCATTTTCTACAGACTTTGCAGTAACATATCACCATGCTGCTTGGCCAACATGTCCTCCTCCCATCAACCACTGCGTCTCCATGCTGTCTCCTTCTTCATCATTCACAAGTTCTTTAACTACCTTTAAAAGATTTGCTGGAGCAGTTATAAGATGATTTTAACTTCTAACAGCCTCGGACAGCAGCTCCTCAGCAGAACAGAAATGAGAGCTGTATACTTCAGCCATGGTTCTGCATAAACATGCCCACAAAGTTTTGACCAATCACCAGTTGACGCACACTCCTGCGAATAAAAAGTTCAGCCAGGTACATGGAACTGGTTCTGGAAATTCCTGGCAAATCAAAATGATGTACCATATTTTTCAGCCTATAAGTTGCAATTTTTTGCATATTTTACATGCCCTTTGACTTATATACCAAAACAACTTATTTATGTTTTTTTCCCCCATATTTATAAACCAATTTTTGGCTGAGATATGAACGTTTTCATTCATTCTGACATTGAAAATATTGAACACAACCATTTTCAGCCGCTAGATGGCAATCAAGTAGTGTGGCATGCAGTTGTGTCATGTAATAGGTAAAAATGGCTATTAGTGACACCATCAGCTTGCCAAAGTCTGCCACCGTCGGCCAGCTTGCCTGGAGCAATCGTCAAATCAGCTTCATTTCGCTGCAACGCCCAGCTGAAATGCAGCTGATTTGACCATTGAAGTGTATTTATTAAGCAAAAGTTAGACTGAGACACACCTTTAATAAAATTATGAGCAAACAAATAATTGTTTTTAAGTGTTAATCTAGTAAAATTCTTCTTAAAGTCCTCTTGTGCACGCTCTCGCAGCTGCCATTTGACAGCCCATTGATTTTTGGCACAACACCGGCCCACATTTCTGGGTTGTCAGTGGTGACACATAATAGATGCGACCTATACGGCAAAGCGACATATTTATGGACTTTTCCACTTTATTAGACATATTTGGACTGATGCGACTTATAGGACGGTGCGACGTGTATTGCGGAAAATACGGTAATATTTGTCACGCAACTAATTCAGCAAGAAAAGACTTTGTGACGTCTTGGAAAGTATAAATCAGCCTTTAGAGTTCGTTCAGGAAGTAAGACCAGATGAGAGTGCACTCATAAAGCAGAATATGGCAAAAAGTTGTGTTTTTGTGTTTGGAATTAAAACAACTTGATTAATTACACAGCCCTGCGGAGCGTTTCCATCAGCCATCTTGTCTCTGTTGTGTGAACGCCATAGTCTGGACACAACTCTTACGAACTGCGCAACGTTAAGTAAGAATAAATCTTTCCTGACTTTGATTCAGATTATTCACGTCTGCTCCACAATTCATGGAAAAATGATTATAACCTTTGCACACACTGCTCCAATTCAAAACAAACACACAAAAAAGAAAAGTGAGATGAAAAGGGTTAAACGGTCTCAAGTGTTTCTATTTAACTTCACAACTCTTCATCTACAGAAAGAGAGGAAAAACAGACTAAGAAAAGCAGGTCTTTTTTTAAAGTTTCCAGGAGATATTTAGAGCGCTCCGAGAGGTCAAAGTTCACAAGACGCCGTTCTTTCTTCCATCTGACGAGCTGTGCCACATTAGAGATACTCCACACCTACATTTGTTCTGCTGTCAGACATTGAGCCTGTGATGTGTACAGGCGGGAGGAGGAAGAGGAGCGCTGCCCCCCGTCAGCGCCGCCAGGCAGACGTGCAGGGGGGGGATGACTACGAGGATGTGGAGGCTGAGTTCAACCCGGAGAACCCCTATCACGTGAGTCACACCAACAAGCTCTCACGCTCCTGCTTGTTTACATCCGGCTGCAGCGTCGGGAGCTGTCTGTTCAGATTGGAGGGTGCTGAGGAGGTGGGGGGCAGGGGAGTCCACCTGAGGAGAGTTTCTCACAGCTGCAGGAGCGGCAGCAGATGCTGGGGTCACAGAGCCGGGGCCCAGATTGTCACAGCACATCTGAGAGAGTGGATTTTCTGTTCGGGGCTGTCGAAAGCTTTCCTTTCAAGAATGAGTCTGTATGAATAATTCCACCCCACCCCCCCCCCCCCCCCCCCCCCCCGGTCCCTTTGCTCTGCTGAGCACATACAGACTCCCATGTAAACACGCCATCACTCCTCAGATTCATCCCGTTCCCTCATCCTCCACCGAACAAACAAACCTCCTACAGCTGCAGACAGGATGTAAAGGCTTCTGAAAACTCAAACTCTACATTTCATTTTACCCAACTTTAAATTTCAGAGATTGTTGGACTTCTGTGCTAGTCATAGTTTGTCCATCACGAACACTACGTTCGAACATAAGGGTGTCCATGAATGCTCATGGCACCAGGACGGCCTAGGTGTAGATCGATGATTGACTTCGTAGTCGTATCATCTGATTTGCAGCCGTTTGTTTTGGACACTCGGGTAAAGAGAGGAGCTGAGCTGTCAACTGATCACCACCTAGTAGTGAGTTGGAGCAGATGGCGGGGGAAGATGCCGGACAAACCTGGTAGACCCAAACATGTAGTGAGGGTTTGCTGGGAACGCCTGGCAGAAGAACCCATCAGAGATCTTCAACTCACACCTCCGGGAGAGTTTTAATCTCATCCCAGCTGAGGCGGGGAACATTGAATCCAAGTGGGCCATGTTCCACGACTCAATTGTTGAAGTGTCTGCTTTCAGCTGTGGTCGCAAGGAACTTGGGGGTGGACACCCTGGGTTAGGGAGGCTGTCAATCTGAAGAAGGAGTCCTATTGGTCCTTGTTGGCTGGTGGGACTCCAGAGGCAGCTGAGGAGTACCGGAGGGCCAAGCGGTCTTCAGCCTTGGCTGTTGCTAAGGCAAAAGCTCGGATGTGGGAGGAGTTCGGTGAGACCATGGATAACGGCTCTCTGTCGGCTCCGAGAAGATTTTGTCAAACCATCAGGCGGCTGAGCAGTGCTTTACCAACACTGTGTTCAATGAAGGTGGGATGCTGTTGACCTCAACCAGTGATGTCGTCGGGAGGTGGAAGGAATACTTCTCAGACCTTCTCAATCCCACTGGCACGTCTTCTATGGAAGAAGCAGAGTTGGGGGATTTCGGGGTTGGTCTGTCCATAACCGTGGCTGAGGTCGCCGAGGTAGTTAAAAAGCTCCAAGGTGGCAGGGCTCCGAGGGTGGATGATTTCCTTAAGGCTCTGGATGTTGTGGGGCTGTCTTGGTTGACAAGACTTTACAACAGCGTGTGGTCATTGGGGCCAGTGCCACTGGATTGGCAGACTGGAGAGGAGGTTCCCCTCTTCAAAAATGGTTACCGGAGGGTGTGCTCCAATTACAAGGGTATCACTCTCCTTAGCCTCCCTGGTAAGGTCTATTCAGGGGTACTGGAGAAGCGAGTCTGATCGTTGGTCAAACCTCAGATCCAGGAGGAACAATATGTGGGTTCCGTCCTGGCTGTGGAACACTGGACCAGCTCTTAACCCTCACTAGGGTCCTTGAGGGGTCATGGGAGTTTGCCCATCCAGTCCATCCATCCATCCATTATCTTTTACCCGCTTCTTCCATTTTGGGTCACAGGGGTCGCCGGTGTCCATGTCTGGCAATCATTGTGCAAGGGGCGGGGTACACCCTGGACAGGTCGCAAGTCCATCACAGGGCCACAAAAGAGATAAACGAGACAAACAACCATTCACTCTCTCACTCTCACCTAGGGACAATTTAGAGTTACCAATTAGCCTAACATGCATGTTTTTGGTCTGTGGGAGGAAACTGAAGTACCCGGAGAAAACCCACGCATGCACGGAGAGAACATGCAAACTCCACTCAGAAAGACCACCGGACCGGGATTTGAACCAGGAACCTGCGCGCTGAGATGCAGCAGCTCTACCAGTGGTGCCACCGTGCTGCCCATCCAGTCTACATGTGTTTTGTGGACTTGGAGAAGGCATTTGACTGTGGGGGATGCTCCATGAGTATGGGATTGGAGGACTGTTGTTACAGGCTGTTCGGTCCCTATACAAGTGGTGCGACAGCTTGGTTCGCATTGCCGGCAGTAAGTCGGACCCCTTCAGGGTAGGAGTTGGACTCTGCCAGGGCTGCCCATTGTCACCGATTCTGTTCATACCTTTTGTGAACAGAATTTCTCGGTGCAGCCAGCTGGCGGAGGGTTTCCGATTCGGTGGCCTCAGGATTCCATCTCTGCTCTTTGCAGATGATGTGGTCCTGTTGGCGTCATCATGCCGTGATCTTCAGCTCTCACTGGAGCAGTTCACAGCTGAATGTGAAGCGGCTGGGATGAAAATCAGCACCTTCAAATCTGAGGCCATGGTCCTCAACCGGAAATGGGTGGATTGTTCTCTTCAGGTCGAGGGTGAGGTTCTGAGGTCTGTGTGGGTGGGTTTGCGGACCAGTAAGATCCACAGACCAGTTTTTGCAGTTTGACTCCCATCACCCTTTGGAGAACAAGTTAGGAGTCATCAGGACTCTGTACCACAGAGCAGACAGCGTCCCCACTAACTCAGGAGCCAGGCAGAAGGAGAAATCCTACACAAGACAGGCTCTAGAGCAATGTGGATATCCTAACTGGGCCTTCCTGAAAGCAGAGAAGAAACCCAAACAGGACTCCAGTCAGCCATCTGGTGAAAAGGAGGAACCCAGACCCAGACCAGTGGTCATTCCGTATGTTGAGGGAGTATAAGAGAAACTGAGACGTTTATTTTTAAACATAACGTCCCAGTGGCTTTTAAACCCCAAAATACATTACAGCAAAGACTGGTTCATCCCCAAGATCTAGTCCCCCGGCACAAACAGAGTAATGTTGTGTATGCTGTTCAGTGTCAGGAGGGCTGTGATCAGTCTTACATCGGGGAAACTAAACAGCCACTGGCCAAAAGGATGGCCCAGCACAGAAGATCAACATCATCAGGCCAGGACTCTGCAGTCTACACTCATCTCCAGGCCAGCGGTCACTCTTTCAGGGATGAAGATGTTCACATCCTGGATAGAGAGGAACGATGGTTTGAGAGAGGAGTAAAGGAGGCAATCTTTTTAAAATAAATTGTCCATTATTAAACAGGGGTGGAGGCCTCCGGGTTCAACTGTCCCCCTCTTACAATGCTGTGATTGCTAGTATCACTCAGCCTCCTGTGAATAGTAAACAGCCATCAGTGTGCTAATGATCCATTGTTAGGCTGATGGTCCTTCTTGATCATGTTAGCAGCTGGTTTTGGTTGTCAACAGCAAAACTGGTTGATCCACTCTGAGAAGGTGCTATTTAAGAGACTGAGCTGAATACAGCTCCTCAGACTTAGGAAGTCTCTCGGATGAAAGACGAAACGTTTCTAGATTTTTTTGTTTTGCTTTGTTTTTTGAATGTCCAGAGGACCAGATTTAACTTTTTTTTAGATTTTTCTACATGGATTATTGAGCATGCATCAGGATACTCACATTAATGTTACTGGACTACAAAAACTCTCATTAAGGGAACTGTACGGTTAAATAATCTATAATGAGCAGTTTATTCATGTGGAACATTTAGTGCGTTGACTGATCCGTGCACAGCAGGTGATCTGTGCAAGTGTCTTTAACAATTTGTATGTGCAGAATATTCCTACTTGTGAAATTAAAAGTATTTTTGAAAAACTGTTTTTTTGTGTCTCACAGTATGCGTCTTTAAAACTTGTGGATCTTATAGTACGCACACCAACATGTTGCTTGTGTGACTAATCTTTAGATCAACTTATTTTCACATGAACCCATTGTAATCTAGCACATTTCACAATTGATTAATATTAACCCTTTTTAATGAAATCAGTGTTAACCTATCTGCTGTCCTCTCCATCCAGCGAGGACTGGAGGGTGAGCAGGGCACCATGGACATCGACCCCATGCTGGACCACCAGGGCGTGTGCTGCAACGAGTGCCGCCGCAGCTACACCCACTGCCAGAGGATCTGCGAGCCCCTGGGGGGGTACTACCCATGGCCATACCACTACAGAGGCTGCAGGGTGGCCTGCAGAGTCATCATGCCCTGCAAGTGGTGGGTGGCACGCATTCTGGGCCTGGTGTGAGCCTCCTCAGCTCACCTGAGGGGGGTGGGGGTACTTATTCACATCTATTGCAGGTAGTCCAGTCTGAGCAGGTCTGTACAGACAGAAGTGGGGGCGTTCAGGAAAGCCTGCAGGGTTCAAATCTCACAAAGCAGCGACTGAATTTAGAGATTTAAACTTTTCTTCAACACTGATGACGTCAGCAGCTGATAATCAGCCCCTCATACTGTTCAAAAATAATAAAACATTAACCTTGTTCTCGTCATGTTACCTTAAAATAAATCTTTTTAAAAGACTCTTCAGAGTTGGTGTGTTTGTCCTCGCGAGGATCAAGTGAGCGTTTGTTTTCCGTTTCTCCAGCAGTTTTCAGACTTCTTTAAAGTGCGAGCTGCAGCTCAACTCTTAATGAGACTAAAGACTCGGCAGCCGTCACGCTCCCAGATCTTACCCACGATGCAAAGCGCTTAGCTGCTTTTGATGTCGCAGTCGCCTTGGGCAGGGGTAGGGGGTAAGGATGGGGGCGGTGTGTGTGTGTGTCAGGGATACTGACGGAGTAAAGCGTGTGAAGAAGAGTTAAGAGTTTCATCCAGAGCCACAAATGGCTGTTTGATCATCGGCAGAGATGAAACGAGGAGCTTAACACTTAACTCAGTGAGATGATGCGGTTAGGAAGGGTGATCCATATTAATGCTCTCCTGCCCCCCCCCCCCCCCCCTCCATACAGCATGCATGTGGAGGAGATGCCCTCACCCTCCTCTGCTGGACAAACGACTCGCGGCTGGATACCGAACCAAATGGTGCAGTAATGTTAGCCATCTCTTATCAGTGAGACCACCCCCCCACCCCCACCCCCCCCAATTTACTGCCATTTTGTGTCAGAGCGATCTCACTCCAAACAACAAGCCATAAAACACCAGACAAAGTTTTAGAGCCAAACAAACGTTTTATTTACACAAAAGTTCAGTCAGTCGAGGAGACGAGTCGAGCTGCTTCACAGGAACAAAGAGCAACATCCAAGAAGAGATGAACACGTCGCTGCGCTTTTTATTTATTTATACATTTTTACAACGTGTGCTGAACAAAACCATCAAATGCTTCTAAACAAAGGCTGTGGATGGCTTTGAGAAAAATAAAAATAACTTTGTAGAATTTTAGCTGACATTCATGGTCCAGTCAGCTGATCATTCAAACTGACCCCATCAGGGGATGAGCCAGATTTTTTTTTTTTTTTGG